ACCTTTTAAATATGAAAAACTTTCGTAGGACGTATTTTCTTGTAAAGTTCATATTTACTGAGATATCGCACTTTGACGCACTAATGAGCAACCCTGTATAATAGATACTTTCGAAATGTCAACCTGTTCTCATAATCTCGAATTCTGCGGGGTTTGGTGTTTACAAGTAATCCATACAACACTGAACATTTGAATGGTTAACTCCAAACAAGCTGGTGCCTGTGTAATCTCCTTATTATCCACTATTATCAAGCAGCTTCTCGTATTCAGTGAATTAACTGCTGCTCCATTTGTACCTCCTTGTGCTGTGTGTATCGTATAAACGTGGCAGGAATGTAGCCCTTCCTCGGTATTTGTTTAGTGCTTGGGAAAGTGTGAGTTATTGTGCTCTGAGTACCCCTGGAAGGCCCCGATTCGATTATGTCCAAGACCAAGTCCTCTGTGCCTGGAACCCGAACGTCTATTGTCGTCCATTATCTTCCTGGAACCACTCTCCTCGCCCTTTGTTCCCGTGAGTTCTTTCAGCTTCTGCTCTGTCACTGTAGCATTTCCCCTGAACTAATCGCATATCCGCAAATTCGTGAGAGGAAATTCAAAGTAAGTCACAGTTTGACAAATTGTTGTTATTATTGACAAGGACTACCACCTGTAACTATCTGTTAATGGCAAAAAACATCGTTGCCGCTTTGACTTTCCATCAAAAAATTTTAGAATTTTCGTAATTTGAAGCAAAGATTGTAATTTTTCTTTTTGAATGCTTAAATATTCCAATATGCTACCAATTAAATATGGAACAATTTATTAAATAATGCTGAATAGCAAAGTTGATATTCGATCTTCAACTGTTAATATCTTCTACAAATTTTGGAAAAAAAAAATTTCTATATTTTTCTCGCACTCCCCAAGTGAGCCCACATCACCGCTTAAAAAGTATGACGCCAATTTTGAATCACCCTGTATAGTAAATGTATGTTAACGACAATAATAAATCATTATGAAATAACGCAATTAAAACATTTTCACTTCTATCTCAAATTTGCTTTGTTTTCATTCACTTAACTCATAACTTCCTTATAGCTGTGCTCAGTTAGCATTTCTGGTTAATTTTTCAATTGCGCTCAATATTTAAAATGCATATCGATGTCGAAAATGTCTAAAAATGGCTAATCTCTTACAAGTTGTCGAAGAAAAAGAGAAAAACTGCCCAGTCAGTACTCATACGGTACTTACAAGCAACGATTAACATCGTGTTAAGTTTGGTAGGAACAGGCACAAGTACCATAATTTAAAGTAATTCTACGGTTTCAAGCATATTCTAAAATTTTTTTTTTGCGGATTTCCATATCAAGCAATATTTAAATGATTCAACCAAGAGTTATGATTTTAATTTCTTGGAAGATTTTACTAAGAAATACACTTGGAGCTAAATTACCACAGTTTTCGAGACAAAACTGGTACCATTTTCCTTCAGATGCTATTTGGTTCTTACATTGCTCTTTTAATTTATATAACATTTTTTCTATTGCTGATTTCTTGTTCTATTACTAAACACACTGGCTTTTTGTAAATTTCTAAGCATATATTAAATAAAGCATTTTAACTATTGAATTATATAACAATGTTTTTCGTTCCTAAATTCAAACGCTTGGTGGCTAGTGTATGTGAATAAAATCACCTGAAACAATTCTCCGGAAGCAAAATTCTCTAATCGATTAGTTAACAGTTCAAGTAAACAATGCCGCACGGTCCGAAAAGCGCAAATTCTATTCTCTAGGCACGTGCTTGTCTTAATGGATTTATGTTAAATTAATTTACGGTCGAAATAAAACGCATGCATTTCCTTAATAAATTCAGACTCTGCGTGCCCATTTCTGCTCAATTTTATCTTAAAAGGTATTAATATTAATGAGAATAGAATACGCTCTCGTGAATCCAGCAGGTTTAATGCATATTCATCCAGATTTAAGGTTTTAGTTTCATCTAGAGCCCGGCTCAGAATGTTTAAATCAGAGCATAGGAACTGGTGCTTCTGAATCATTTAGCATAAATCAGATAAAAATATATAGGTATGTGATAGTTGCTACAACGGGTGAATAGCCAACAAAAGATTCACTAAATAAATTAAAAGTTTTTTTCCACTCCTCATAAATTTTAGTGTTCACTTGCAAATGTGTACCTGATTTAAAAAGTAGTATATTTAGACACTCATCGAACATTAATGTGAATACAGTTATTGGTTTCCCGTATTAAATTTTCAGGTTGCACCATGCATCCACTGACAGTGTGGTTCAATCTTGTAAACACTTTCAAAGTGAAAACTTTTAAAATAATTATACAGGGCGTTCTCCCTAAACTTGAAAGTTCAGAAAGAAAAGGAACTACTCCTTTACTTCTTAGGTCCTCTCACCTCCTCTCAATACATTATGAATAAATCTAAATATTAGAGGGTCCGTAAACGTCCCGTTTCCATATTACAGGGGTTAAAGTTTTAAATTTATATTTAAAATTCGTCCCTATTTACTTTTGTCAGTGGCTTCTTGGCCCTCAAGCAGAAAACTAGAATTTGTCAAAGTCAGTCCTCTTCACAGACAAGCTGTATTTACCAGAAAAAAAACTTTTAAGTACATAAATAATCATGTGTGAGCTGAGTACCGGTATTCCACCGCTTTACGAATGTACCAGCTCCGTTTCTCCCTCAACATGTGGACCGGGATAACAATACAATATAATATAAGAAAGCTCTACAACTCAGGGTGGGTCTTGGCTGACTGCACTATGCTCCTCTAGGCCTCCCGGTCCTCCAAAAGATTCGTGTCCAGAGGGGTATTCATTTTAGTTAGAGCTCCTTTGATGTTTTGTTTTGATGCTTCTTTGTTGCTCCTAAGTTTTTCTTTATTACGCTTAATCATTGTCCATCTCCCGCATCCATAAGCGACTATTGGTCTTGTAATGCTTTTATAGGCTCACCTTTGAGGTTCTTGAGATTATTTTTAACTTGAAAAAGTTGTTTAGAGATATCAGATATCGGCTTTCGGATTGAATTCTGCCTTTTATTTCCATATATGACATCATGATCTGCTGCAATTGTAGCTCCTAGATATTTTAAAAGCTCCACTCGTGCAAAATTATAAGTGTCTATTGTTATATTCTGTCCTATTCTATCTCTACGTCCCTGTCTGTTTGCGCAAATATATTATATATTATAAATATTTTTTGTCTCATTAATATTGAGCCTTACTTCTCTTGTTGCCTTTTCTATGAGATTAAAGATACCTACCTTTTACTGTTGGTGTTGAGTCTCCAATGATTTTAATGTCATCTGCATTATGTTATATCTGCATATGCTATCAATAGTTTCGACCTTGTGCATTCAGGAATTCTGTTTGAATTTCTGCTGACCTCGTAGCATTTTTAGGGCGTTACTAAAGAGTATATGCGACAAAGCATCTCTCAATTAGTTGCTGTAAATGGCTGTATAACGATTCACCTCCGCACTTTAATAGATCTGATGCTATGTAATCCGATCTAGGAGCCTTTGAGTTTTTAGTTCTTTTACGCTCTTCCAATTTCTTCTATGGATGGTTCTTCTACAGGCAAGCCTGCTGTGTGGTATGCATTTTCGGGGTGTTTTTTATCGAGTTTAAATTTAGCAGCTTTTGAAAGTAGTTTATCCATGTTTTCAACGTATTCGTTGATTATCATGTCACCAATCATATCATGTCGCTTTTCAACATAGGGAGCTACCTGGGCTGATATGCTCGATTTTTAGTTTTTTATTGCCTTATAGAATTTCCTAGAAGCTAGCTTAGACCTATTTCTTGCGATCAGCTCGCATTTTCGACGTTCGCATAAACTTCCTGGTTTCTTTAAGAGCGTTTGCAAATTTTTCTCGGTTTTCAGGTGTATCGTGCTGAATCATGGCGTTTCTAAAAGTTTCTCTTTCTTGCAGTTTTTGTTTACACTCTTCATTAAACCATGATTTAATCGTTTTCTTTTTGGTTGTGTCGTCGTCATGGCTTTTTCTGCTGTTTTTTTTATCGTTTGTTTAATATAGTTTCACACCCCTTCAACAACCAATGTGCAATTTTCATTCTCAATGAGTTTATGTTCCAGTTCTTCTTCGTATTTTTGTTGTTATGCTGGATTTTGTAATTTTCCTATGCTCCATTATGTGGTTTGGTTAGTTTTTTGGTTTTTCTGACTCGATATTCTGAAGAAAGGAGATTTGGAGATTGGCTTTTACCAGAAAATGATCTGTATCTCCGCCCGGAAGGGGATTCTTGGGGAGAATCAAATCGAACCGTACTTTTTACTTGCTCGTTTAGACGAACAAAGTTATTTAAACTTTTTTCAAAATGATTTGGAACCTTTATTAGAAGATGCTCCATTAGACGTACGTCTAAATCTGTGGTTCGAACATGACGGGGTCTCCGGTCATTTCTTGCGGCCGCCCGAAAATACCTCAATCACCATTCTCTAAAGGTTTTCTGTATTTAAATCAGCTTTTAAATTTAAAAAAATCAGCCTAGAAACCGGTACGTCTTAGAAAGAAAATCGTGAATATTTAAATATTTCAAGAATTAATTATAGTAGATTTATATATCAATGTGATTATTTTTTTATTATTTATACCTACTTTTTTGTTGCTCTCCCTGTGCATATTACCCGGCAGAGAACTTCTTAAAAATATGTTTATTGTGAGTTTGATATGATCTGACAAACAACGTCATACTCTCGTAAGAATATTTTCAAATCAAGCAATAAGCGTTGGACCGATTTAGTACCTCATGTTTTGTAGTTCTTTTTAAAAACTTAGATATTCTCTAACACTTACCTGAATCAGTGAAATCATCGCTTCTCCCCAACTCGTGCAGATTTGGTAAGCTCCCCATGTTTCCAAAATATCGCCAAAAAAATTGATCATTACATGGGTTTTTAGATCAGCTTTTTAACTATTAATCAACCGGCAAAGATCGTCCATGAATGGATTGAATGCACTTTCCGTAGACAACATGGAGAAAAGTCCATCTGCAAAAGAATATAGCAATTTATCAATTTGCAACTTAGTTAAGCTAATGAACATAAAAAAGTTATTAACTAAAGGATTGCACTTTGCCATCTTTGGATTTGCTCCAATTTTATCTTTTGTTGTTTTGGTTTAAAAATAACAAACTATTATTAGTTTCGAGAATGCTTTCGGAAACTGCTTTCGATATGGAGGGAACTTTTGTTGCCCATAAAGTTTCAAGTTTCATATCTCTTCGCCAGCTAAATACAAAACAAGTGCCAGTCATTATTAAATTATCTTTAGTTCAATGCCAACCGTGATTTTCCCGAACTTAACGTCGACTCGTTTCTTCGGTATTTCGCATTTGTGCCCCAACCAACTTAAACTTTTGACAGTTCTAAATTGCGGATAGTTAAAGCCGGTATAAGTTTGCAAACTTAAAATTGTCATTGAAAGCTTTCGTGGGACTTTCCGACACTCAATAACCTCGCAAACCGAGAAATAAAAATGTTTTTCTAATATTCTGGTAGTTGAAAAATATTTGCGATCAATTTTTCACATGGATTTCGAATTGGTCATCAACGACAATTCACAGACGTAGTAAAAGTTCAATCAAAACCAATTAGGCGCGCAATACAGGCGTTGATTTGGAGCTTTTATTTTATAATGTGGGTTGAACATTACCTATATATATATATATATAAAACAGAAAATAAAACAGTATATATAAACAGAACTAACCAAGAGGAGGGAAGAGGTAAACTTGAAGTTCTAAGATGCAGTAATGCTATCAATAAAAAGTACTCCCTAAATAATTTTTAGTTATCGTTTTATAATTAATTTAGACGTAAGTGCAAAATACATTAAAACTTTTAGTTTATTGCTAAATTAATTTAATATGTCAAGAACCAATCGCTTGAAGTTCACGTTTAAATGTTGTCATTGAACTTCTTGTACTTCTTGTATTCTATAACTTAACCATAACAAATTCCGAAATTAAAAAAAAATGTTCAGTATCAGAAAGCATCAATTTTATATGGAAATGTAATCGAATAAGTTAGTTCGATATCAAGTTAAATTGACTAGAGCACAATAAGCCAATAAATGTCGTTCCATAACAAAAGCTGTATTCGAACAAAACTTTGCCTGACAAATAAAAAAGTTTTTATGATAGAAACTAAACATGACACGTTACGTGTTTATCGCTGCGTAACAAGGGAGAAGCAGAGGAGGACGAGTTGGCGGACAATTTGACCCCGAAAAAAATAAAGGAATAAAACGTGGGAATATGTGCCTTTCGAATTACACGAAAGTGCTTTTCGATATATTACAGTCGTGGAAATATGAAAAATATCTCCAAGCTGTTACATAACTGTATGTGAATACGGTGACTGAATTAAGTAAGGAAAGCTTTCTTTTGATTATTTGTCGATTTGATAAATTGAGTTTTTATTCATTGAGGCATTATTCGTTGAATATGTTGTTCGCCTGTAAGACTTACATTTCAGCAAAGCTAAATTAAAATGCATTGTATTTGAAATATTACAATATAAATTCATTTGCTGTTATTGAACTCAGTTACATTAGCTTTATTAGTAATTCATTAATTTAGTAATCAAATATTCACGCAATATTTAGAGCTACTTTTTGCTAAGTTGTTAAATTTGGTAATTTTCCACGTCATATCGACAAATAGAATCAGATTCTGCAAGGCTTTATTATAGCAATTAAGCAATATGAAAGAAGAATATCTAAAGTCTAAGGAAAGACAGAGGTAGTTCCTTAAGAATGAAACAGGAATTGACACAGAAAATAGTCATGGTACAAAAGAGGAAGGTGAAAGAGGAGATGTGGAAGTACAACATTGACAGCCTTTGATAGTGATAATAAATATATTAAAGAACAAGGTGAGCTGATAGTAGGACATAGATAAATTTAGATACAGTAACTAAATAGATATATGAATGAAAATTAGTACGTGCGACTTTCACAGAGTGTATGACCAGAATAGTATCTTATAGATGAAAAAGAGACACAGAAAAAGGATTTTCTCAAGACAATAAATCGATGATACTAAAATGAGGCTAATATAGAAAGAGGCACCCCTAGAAAAAATGTCAGTAAAGATTAACAAAGTCGTACTGTAATAGCCACACATGGGAATGAGAGAAAAGTAACAATGTAGTGCGGCAGATAAAATTTGCATAATTTCACCAAACTATTTGTGACTCTTCAAATCAAATAGTAGCATTAACAGCAAAAAAATTAAACACGAAAAAGGTAATAGCAGAGGTTAAGAATCCATTGTTTACTAAGTTTTCATATAAACTCAAGGTGAAAAAGAGGTACAAAACATATCAAAGTTACGAAAGATACACAGTAACTATTTTCTATTAAGAGGTAAAATAAAATTAATAATACGAAATTGAAAGAAATTTTACAATATAAAATAGATAGGAAAAGGTATATCTGATGCCGCTTTTAGTTCACTTAACTGCATAAGAAAATCAAATAAATGTATTAAATCGATCTACTTTTCTGGATAAACAAATTAATTAAAATAAGGTTTTTGTTGTTTACGTTAAAAATATGTGTCATTGTTAATAATCTTCTTCTTCTTCACCCTTTAGATGTCCACTGCTGAACATAGGCCTCCATCTTTATCCAGGTCGACCTGTTTTGAGCTGTGTCTATTATTACTATGGTGGTATTATAAGATATTTAAATATTAAGGTAATAAATACATTTTTAATATTTAAAATTGTTAATATGCACCTGGAAGAGATGGGAAAAAGTAATCGTCTTAATATTTCTTTGTAAAATTTTATATATTTTATAGCAAAAAACATTCGAATACTGCAGTGTTCATTAACATTTGCAAACCTTTAGAACGTATTACTTAGTTAATCAGTAAGATTGGGATCATTGGTTTTGTGATGTTTATATTTAATTATTTTATACACTTTTTGTTACTATTGCTTCCTTTAAGTAGGGTAGAGTAGCTTTATAGTCCGAATTTTATTTGTTTCAGGGCTCCATTGTTAAATGAAATTTTAAAATCCAACAGAAAAATGTTCGTAATGTGTTTCACAAATTTTTTAAAACATCACGCCCCACGTTGATACACTTATCTGCTCGTTTATAAATTGATTTAGTAGGGAGTTTTAGCGAACCAAGGTTAGCTCTAATTAACGCTGAAAAGTTAAGTTTGCAAGTTAGTAACGTATCCCTTGTGTAAACTTTCGAAGCTTAAATCAACGACTTTATTCATCCTTAAATACACAAATAAAGGGGAGTGCGATCCGGTAATCTTAAAAGGAATCTGGACTGCTGATAGCAAATCCTCCAGTAAAAGTTTACCATTACCATTTACGCACACATCTGATATATCTCGGGAAAAATTGCAGAAAATCAATGCAAGCACAAAAAATATTGAAGTTTGAGGAAACGCAATTAGGACCATAAAAAAGAATAAAGTCAACGTTGAAAAACAAAAATTTGCACCATTTTCCGACAGAACTGAGCTGTTTTGGAGAGAACTGAGCTGAACTAAGAGTTTCTACCAATCCAGGCATCTCCAAATTTTGTATTCAGAAAATTACTAAAATTATTTAAATAATGAAGAAGCGATCTATTATGTTGGAAGGTAGCACGTGGCACCATCCAAAGTAACTTTGTCCAATATTTCCTAGCTTTTTAAATATGTAAATAATCGTCCACATTAAGGCGACATTCCAGACCGAGCAGAAGTTTATTCTTGCGTAACAAGGGGATTTGGCTCAGCCCATCAATGGTCTAGTGGCAATTGTTAGTTCTATGTCGATTAAACTGAGCTTCGTCCGTAAAAAATCCGTTGACGAAATAGTCATATTAATGAAAAAACGCTTTGTTGGAGATTTTGTACTTATTACACATGAAGAGCTTCCCACATATACAAATATTTATCTTTAAAATATTTTCATTTTCTCCTAAGTCATCTTGTAATAGTATTTTATCTACTGAATTGCCGGTCAATCGGGCTAATTTGTCAATTTGCTGCGCATTGACAAAAAATATTTTTAATTATTCTTTATCTCGAGAAACCATGCATAAGAATGTATCGTTGAAAAGTCGTTCACTCTAAACTATTTCTAAAGTGTCTGTTAAGAGTTCCAATTTGAGGTACCAACATTTCCTAATTCCGATGTTGAAAAAATATTTAATTTTGAAAATCGAAAACTCAATTTCCACTTTCAGAAACACCGGTTATAAAACAGGGTTTTCTCAAAAGCGCTACTTATGACCACAGTAAAACTATCGAATGTTTTTAATAATTTAGCTGCACTTATTAGTCCAACAATTTCAGAAAACTTGTTCCGGCATTATCTTTCAGTGATATGATGATATGATATAAGATTTATGTTTTCTAAATTTGTCTGTAAATTGTTAGGCATGCGGTATAAACTACTCACTGGCCGGTAATTACCGTTGTGCTAAAAATTACAGTGAATGAAATAATAGAATAATTTCAACAAAAATCAGCAATTCTTCTTCTAATCCCACTTCTATGCATTTGGCGATAATCATAGCAAATTGAGAAATTGGAGGCTCCTGTTTCTGAAGAGGGAAAATTTAGTTTAAATATTGAGAGAATTTGACAGTATAAATATTGGAATCAGAAAAGTGGTTCAGTGAATAAGCAAGAGTAGTTTGGGACAACATTTTAAATGAACAGTTCGGCCAACTTTCAATCAGCCAGTTATTTTTGAAATAGTTGTTAAAGTCAGACAGGAATAATTCCAACTTGATCATAAATTTTGTAAGTACATTTTTAGCATTTAATGAGTTATGATTGCTTAAGTAGACCATTAGTGCAAAAAACGGCGAACTTTATATTAGTGTTACCTGATGTGGGCTTCGAAACGAAATCACATAATAAAGGACTAAAAGTCA